CCAGGAGAATCAGAGCATACTCCCTGGCTAGAATGGCAGGTGTATCCCCCCGCCCCCCATCACAGTAGAGACACACACCTGCCACCTGTGTGGCTAGGCTGGCACCTTCACCATGGAAGAAGGCCTTCCCTACCTGAGTGGGACCAGGAGTAAACAGATGCTTCCAGTTCAGGAGAGCCACAGACCCAGGAAGAAATTGATTCATACACCCTAGGAGAGATACTTTACCAGAATGTTTCTGTCCCTATCTTGGTCTTTTCTTCCCACCATGTTGGAAGGTGGCTAAGGGAGCATGTTTTCCCTTTGTAGATAATTCATTTGTGGCAGTAGGTGGCTGAGTGATTTGGATATTCATGGCTGTCACTTCTAGGATGTCATCCCTGGGCCTCTCCCCTGTGTGAGTGATCTCATGAGTCGTAATGAGTTGCTTATAAAGTGTCTCCAGGATTTCCTATGTCAGTAACTGTCACTGCAGCACTGGTACCTTGCATCTGTTTCCAGCATGCAGCTGGAAATGGGGAGAGGAGTTAGTGGAGAGGAATCACTCTGGGATCTGGGAGTCTTCACTGGCTATGTTTTTGTTGTTGTTGTTGTTTTGTTTTGTTTTTTTGAGACAGGGTCTCCCTGTAGCCCCAGCTTTCCTGGAACTCACTATGTAGACCAGGCTGGCCTCGAACTCACAAAGATCCACCTGCCTCTGCCTCCCAAGTACTGGGATTAAAGGCGTGCCCGGCCTGGCTATGTTTTGATTGCCTTGAAGTAATAGTCAGTGAATCAAAGTGCTAGTCAGCGGACTTGTTGGTTCCTCTTTTCCTTTCCCACATGGGCTTTGTGGTCATTTTGTTCAAAAAGTATACTCCTCACTTGATCTATCATAGGCTGGAGGACAGGTGGGGTCGGCAATGTGAGGGAGGCAGAATGGTTCTGAAAGGTCACCTCTTCTTGTCTCCAGAACATTGGAGGCTAGGACCAGAGCAGAGTCTGGACATCAGGCATGAAGGCCTGCCTAGGCTTTTCTGCACTTAGTTTGCTCAGCTGCAGAGAGGCCTCCCTCGTGCTACACGAAGGGTGTTTTGGGAGTATGGGCTCCGGCAGGCCTGCCATTCACCCGGATGCTCTCAGATGCATCCAGAAGGCCTCATTAGACCAGAAGGAAAGACCTGTCTTGGGATGAGGGAGAGCCTTGTAGGGTCTCTGTCATTAACAGTCAGCCTCTCACCTGACTCTAGAGGTCAAGTCTAATAAAGATGTACCTCCTGACAACCAGCTTCCTATAATGCATTGTCCATACACACACACACACACACACACACACACACACACACACACACACTGACTCTCAATCCAGTACCTCTTTGTGATGCAGGCCGAAGGATATGGCATAGGGATATGCCAGCATGTGTGATCTCTAGCTTCAGTGAGCATTATCATCTGGGAGAAGAAACATAGTGGACCAGAGGTGGGGAACCCAGTGACCATAAGCAAACATGCTAATTAGGACTGTGGGTAAAAGGAGTTCTAGGCTGGGAACTGAGGGGAAGTCTTCCAGACTTCAGTCCTCCAGTCTCCCTGCTTATGGAGGGGAAGAATCACCCTTTCCTCTGACTTGTTCTATGACCAAGAGAGTGCAAGAAAAAACACTTGTGAAATTGCAAATGATGACTCCAAATGACTGATGTTTCATTAGTCAGTTGTTAATGTGGAACGGTGTTTCTGGTACTCTGGAATAGTTATTGACCCCTCTGCCCCGTCCCAGAGTTCCTTCAGCAGACCTGCCCTACCATGCTTGCCACCACAGTGCCAGGCTATTTTCTCCAGTCAGGGCATATCAGGCCACTTGAAGGGTCTTCTTGGTGGGCAGACACTCAACCTGGAAGGGACTTCTTCTCAGTCCAGTTTTTGTGGAGGGTGACTCGTCTCTCGGGGCCTCTAGAACAAATCCCATGGAAGTCAGACCACCATAACACCCTCCCAGATTTAGGGCCAGTCTGCTGGTGTCTGTGCTATGGAGCAGGCACTTCCTGATGTTGTCCTAAGGGACCAAGGATGGCTGGGACTTTGAAATTCAGACAACCCCACATGTGGGTGAGAACACAGAGGAACTGAATCCTGCACATTGCTGGTGGGAATGCAATATGGTGCAGCTGCCATGGGCAGCAGTTCAGCCTGTCCTCAGCAAACTGAAAAGAATTGTCTACGACCCTAGCAATTGCATTCCTAGGTATACACTCAGAAAAAATGGCAATGTGCCCATGAAAAACAGACACAAATGCTCACCACCACCATTAGTCAAACAGCCAAAAAACACAATACCTATTGCCCACCACCCTGTGACTGGGGAGTGTAATGTGGAGCCAAGGACTGGAGTCCATATACCTGCAGTAGAAAGTGCAGGAGCCATACACAAAGACCACATGTTATATTTTTCTGTCTACACAGAATATCCAGATAGCAAATCATTAGAAATGGGGAGCAGACTGTTGGGTACTGAGGGTGGGGAGGAAGAGTAGGGTGCGTGCTGATGGGTCTAGGTTTTCTGTGGGGGTCATAGAAGGGTCCTAAAGTGAAGTCATGGTGATTGTAGTACAACTAAAAAACACTTTGAGTTTCATTTCAAAAATTAAAAAAAGAAAATCATGAAGTGGCCCTAAAGAATATACTGTAGTGGCCCTGGACTACTGGGCATTTGTATTTCCTGAACCTTACTCAGGCCCTCCTTCCTTCTTCCTCCTGAGAGGACTGAGCTTCTCATAAGGTCCGGGGGCCACCTGCCAGACAGGTCCAAGGACTGTTTGCCCCCCAGGAGATCTGGCAGCTGTGCCAAGAGTTTATTGACAGAAAGGCCTGGCAGCCTCTCCCCATCTCCTTCCTTGCATAGGCTCTGAGAGACAGTAGCCAATTCATCAGTATGACCTGGAGCTGGTAAGCACTTTCCTGCTAAATACCTTCTAGAAAAGGCAGGCTGGTTTGGGAAGCTACCTGGGCAACAGACAGTCATTGTGGGGCCAGGGTGGTGAGAGATGTACTGACTGACCCTAATGTGTTGTGCCCCCAAATGGCAAATGGCAGTGTCAGCACTAGGAGCAGGGGGATTGAGACCCTTCTCAGCTGATGTACTCTGCTTATAATGAGGTCTAGTCTGGGGGAGCCACTGTAAATTGGGAATATCAGATATAAATAAAAATGTATTTGGGGGCCAGGAAGATGACTCAGCAAGTAAAGGTGCTTGCTACCAAACCTGACAACCTGAGTTCAATCCCTGGAATCCACATGATGGAAGGAGAGGATTGACTCCCACAAGTTGTCCTTTGACTTCCACACACATGCCATGGCACATGTACATACACACAAACACAATAATAAATGTAAAAAAAATTAATATACTTAATACACCTAACCAACAATTTAATGTACTTAATACATTCAGCTTCTGAGCTGGGCAAAAGCACAACTCACTTTATAGTAAACTGTTGAAGAGCTTATATGATTTATTGAATACTTGATTACAAAAAATGCTGGATACACAGCCCACTGTGGCAGACTAGTCGCTTATCTGGTGATCCTGACTGACAGAGCTGCACATCTGACCCTACTCAGTAAGAAGATTAGATCATGGGTCACTAGATCAAAAAGAACTAAATTCAAACTCACTGGTGGTGTCTACTAAAAATGTATCTTTTGCACCATCATAAAATTGAAAAATTCCAACTTGAAGCACAGCAAGTCAGGGCCATTTGCCAACCCATCTCTATACATTCATAGTTAGGGCCCAGAGGAATTAGAGCACCAGAGCACATGCTTGCCTTTGGCCTCCTCCCTCCTTAGCCCTTCCTCCCTTCTCTGCTTCTTCAGAGTGTTCATCTGAGCACCTGGGCCAGGTACAGTGCAGGAGGAGCCTAGCAGGGCAGCCGTAGCAGTGTGCAGTGTGCAGGGATTTCTGAGGTGGGGCCTGCAGAGAGGTGAGAGAGCTGCCTGCTTACTTCCTCCAGCTAGTTGCTGAACATTGAGGCTCAAGATGTGACTAGTTGTGGGGAAAAAAAAGGATTCTGAGACTAAAATATACATGTAGCCAGGCATGGTGGCGCATGCCTTTAATCCCAGCACTTGGGAGGCAGAGGCAGGTGGAGCTCTGTGAGTTCAAGGACAGCCTGGTCTACATAGTGAGTTCCAGGCCAAATGGGGTTGCAGGAAGACTGTCTCAAAAAGACAAAAAAAAAAAAAAAAGGCGGGGGCGGGCTGGAGAGATGGTTCAGCAGTTAAGAACACTGACTATTCTTGCAGAAGACCTGGGTTCGAATCCCAGCACTCACATGGCAGCTAACAACTGTCTGTAACTCCAGTTCCAGGGGATCCAATGGCCTCTTGTGCCCTCTGAGGGCATTGCAAGACATGGGTGCACTTACATACATGCAGGCAATACATTCATACACATAAAATAATAAGTATTTTTAAAAAAGACAAAAATAAAAAACAAAAAACATACATGTGCAGTCTGTTCCTTTGTGCAGTCTGTTCCTTTGGGAGACAAACTAAGCACAGGGTGAGGGTGAAGGCCTACCTTTTTTCTGTCTTGTCCCTTGGAAGGCTCCCATGGAGTCTCTGATAGTGATGGGAGAGGGCCTGGGGCTCAGAGCCAACATTCCTAGGGCTCCTTTGGTGTTGGCGTCTTGCCTCTCCCTGAGTGATGGGGCAGGGAGGCCTTTGGAGTTGTGTGTGGGAGATGCACAGCTTCTAGGACAACCTGAGAATTGAGCCCTTACATTTAGGGCTGACTACCAGCCTGTCAGCCATCCCATGCTTCCTGCACCAAGGAAGGGTGGAAGTCCTATGTACTGGCCCTGAGATGTAGCTGACTCCAGACTGGCCACAGTTGGTGCACCCTTGCAATTCACTTTCCTAGAACTGGGCCTGTACCTAGGAACATAAACCTGTGTCCTCCACTTTTCCTGGACCCCAGCAAACACCTCACCTCTTGCTTTTTCTCTTGACCCTTCATGTAGGTAGCAAGATGGGAGCAGAGAACTCGCAAGCTGAGCAGGGCCTTTGGGTCCCCCTACCTAGCCTGCTATGCCCTGGGCAGCATCATCTTGCTTCTGAATGTCCTCCGCTCCCACTGGTAAGCCCTTGGGCCACCATGAAAGCTGCTGTCCCTGTGAGAATGCATGATCCGGGGTGGGGGGTGGTCAATAGGTCCATCAGGGTTTAGGAGCTCTGTGTCTGAATGTCCAGGGTGCACTGCTCTCAGAGTCCTCTGGCCATCATCAGCCACCTTGGCCTCTGCTGGTGGAGGCATTCTTGTGACCTTGGGAAGGGGACAATAAAGGAGACAGCTTTAACAGAAGGTACAATGCCTGGGGGAGTCCTCTTTCTCCTTGGAGTCCTCTCTAAGATATGCCAGGACAGGAGATAGATACTCTGGCCAGGAGTCACTGGGGACCAAGGACCAGGCATCTTCTTGGGCATAGGTTAGACCATCATCAGGAAGCTATTTGGCCCATCTTTGGACTTGGAACATGTTCTCTTCCTGAAAAAAAGAAAGAAAAGAAAAGAAAAGAAAAAAGAAAAGAAAACAGCCAGAGCAGTTGCTGATGCAGATGGTGAGGCCAGGGAGAAGATCTAGCCTCCATTCCCCGAGTGGGCCTAGCTGTCTATAGGCACCCTGGCATTTCAGGTTGAGCAGGAAAGCATAACATTCTTTTTTCCAGACATGAACCAAGCCTAGAATGGCTGCCTCTGATCCTTGGGCCCACTTCTCAGGTCTCATGGGCTTCATCATAGGCCCTGTACACTCACAGGATGAAAGAGGCCCACGCACTGCTTTAGGAAAGGGGGAAGGTGGCCTGGGGAATCGTCATTTCTAACTCAGTGCAGTTTAGAGTTGAAAGTATTTAGACTGAAAAGTTACTCTGGTGACCTTTGCCATGGCATGCACACCTAGCCTTTCCAGTCCACTCATCCTGGCCTGACTCTACGTATCTGGGATGCACCCATGAAGCAGGCAGCTAGACATCCAATGCCTGGTATGTAGGGAGCCTGACAGGGTTGTAGGTGATGGGCCAGGTCCCTCATACTCATGAGCTGTGAACATATTGCCCAGGCTTCCCCATGGCAGGACACTTCAGATCCCCTCTTATGGGCCAGGAACATGGGATGGGCCAGCTTCCCACTGGACCCTGGCTTCCTGGCCCTGCAAATTTAGGCTGCTCATGGTCTCCAGGCTGGACAAGTACTACAAACTCGTCATTCTCAGAAGGAATCATCTTGCTTCTGAATGTCCTGTGGCACCCTCCCTGGCTTGGCACATGAAGACTGCCCTATAGGATGGCCTTATTCATTCAACAAGGTGAAGGTGTAGCTTGAGGTTTCCCCAAGCTGTGTGGCTGGCCCACCATTCTTCCTACTATTCTTCAACCTGGGTTGGTCTGGAAATACTGTCTACATGGTTTTGCTAATCAGTCTTTCCCTTCCTAGACTCCTTCAGAAAATGAGCATCACTAGGTACCTGGCAGCAAGGCATTTTCAAGCTTGTAAGTCCACAAGGGCTTCTTAGACAACATAGAGGACCCATGTCCAGCCTAATCTGAAAGGGACACTGTCAAGTCAAAGGTTGTACCCGTGTCCAGGTGTTTTTAATCCCCTAACTTCAAAGGTTTATTTGAACTCATACTCTACTTTTTATAAACTTCAACCTGCTTTGCCCATCCCCAGTACAGGACCACTACCAAATGGGCTCTGCCTCCCCAGGATCAGCTGTGGGAAACTTTTGCTAGGCATTCTTCTGGTTCCCTGGCTCTTGCTTAGTCCTGCAAGGCCTCAGCCCTCATTCAGCCCTTGTGGGCTTTGTACTTAAGTGACTTTGTTAGAATGAGGTCTCTTGACAGACCAAGACCAATTCAGTCCGACCTAAAGGGAATAAGCCTGCAATGGAAGTGTAGCACCCCAGCTTCAAGTCTAACTGATCTCTGATCTCTTTGCTTGCTAAAATCTTTCAACTATAGACAGGTTGCCTGGTTGCTATGGGCTCTACTTGTCTCCCCTGCCCTACTCTGGTTTATCTGTTGGTTTGTTGTTTTGAGGTTTTGGGACAGGGTCTCACTGTATACATACAGTCCTGGCTGTCTGAAACTTGCTGTGATAGATCAGGCTGGCCTTGAACTTGCAGCAGCAATCCTATCTCTGTTCCCTGGATGCTGGGATTATAGGTATGAGCCCCCATGTTCAGCTCCCTTACCTCACTCTGAAGGCTCCCAGAGTTCAGGCTTCAGTTTCTACTCTCTCTCATAATGCAGGGCCCCCGGGGAAAAGGCTGCTGGGGCTCAGGAAGAGGGGGAAGCCTGTAGAGTCACATCTTTTATCTGGTTCCAGAACTTTTTCTCCAGGCTAAATGAAAGCCCTATGTCCATGAGGCAGTTACTACCTCCCATCCAGCCCCCTCAAGTGTTGGCTTGCCTTGGTCCCCAAGGGTCAACCTGGTGCTTTATTGTTTCCTTGTTTCTTTTTGTGCTGGAGATGGAGCCTGGGCCTCACACTGCTGGGCAAGTGCTGCACTGCCCAGCCACATATCAGCCTCTATTCTGAATGCTTCCACAACTTCTGTCCTTATCTGGGATGATACAGCTGCAGATTCTGTGTGCCCAGCAGAGTCAGCGCAGCAGGCAGAGAACACATGTGTACTTAGGTCAAATCTGCCTATCCCATGTGATCTCAGGGCTCCACAGTGGTTGGCAAGTTCCTGGGGCCCACCATGTATCAGTTGGTTTGAATCAGCTGGTGATCTGGGAAGCCCAGAAAGGATAAACTAGCTTGTTATTTGGAGGTTAAGGCAAAGTCCAGACCCAAGGGGGCAATTAGCAAAGACCTGTTTGCTTTGTCTGTCTCTAGCTATGCCCTAAGTGGGAAGGGAGCCTGTTGTTGGGAAGCATTTGTTGAAACCCCTTCCCCAGGAACCACTGTTCCCAACCAGCCTGAGCTGCACCCCTCCAATGGGTTACAGGCTTAAGGAAGTCCCCTGGGGCATAGTATAGATGGCCAGCCCAGCAAGGACTAGCTTTGGAAGGCTGCCAATTGTCATCCCCCTACCCTGCAGTTTCTGCTGGGTAGCAGGCAGCCTTGGCAGGAGTCATCACCTAGGTTGTTGGGGCATAAGGGAGCTGCTGGGACCTTTCTCCTATTGCTGTCACTTAGTGAAGGTCCCTGCGGGCAGCTGGAGAATCAGAGGGAGTCTGGATTGGGTTTCCTGGATCCCAGGAATGGAAGAGGGAGGGCTATAGGCCAGAGGGGGCCCCAGGTAGACAGGTATCTGTCCTCTCACCCAAGGCCCCAACATGGCCTGTGGTTCTGAATGATAATGCTGTGTGTCAACTTTCAAACGGTGAGGTTGGGTTCTGGCTGTTCACAAACGAGAGACACAGTAGCAACTGGTGGCTTGGCTCTTGCCCATACTACAACCCCCCCCCACCCCAGTTCCACTGTTTGTACCCAGAGATAGTCTAGATGTTGGCAGACTTTGGGAAACTTTGAGAAGGTGCCTTAATTAGTGCAGCATGGTAGCCATGAATTCAAGCCCTTCACTGATAGGGGTATTATGCGACTGAGGTGTTGATTTACTGTGCTCTGTATTAATAAGCCCCTCAAATGCCTAGTTACTTGGGTGGTCTTACTTAGCCTAGCTGGAGTGTGAAGAGCAGATAAAGTGAATTCAGCCTGAGGTAAGGGTGTAGGTTGCCCTGTACAGGGACAATTTCAGCCAATGGTTGAAACTAGAGAAGCATGGGGACAGGGGATAGGCTTGCTGAGGCTGTATACGTCTCATGTATGCCCATGGTCTGGTGTGAGGCCTGGCCCCATTTCTCCATCCACCCTAAATTTCTGGGATTTCAAAGGAGCAGAGCACAGGAGGCCTCAAGTAGTGTTGCTGATGGAAAGTTCAATTCACATTTTAAAAATAGAACCCAAGGCCCAGGATTGAATCTCTGCCCCGCCTACCTGGTGTAGAGAATCTCTGAAGGAAATTACTCCCATTACCTCACTCTGCTCTAGGGCACAGCCATGGAGCTACTTGTCCCTCATTAATTCTACTTGTGGAATGGACTGTGCTTTTGTGGCATACAGGAGGAGCTAGAACACCAGCCACCTAATTGGGCATCAATTCCAGTAAGCCTGCTCATGTCATAGGGTGTACAGGACACTGGGCTGGGATAAGACTGCCCCCTGCTTCCCCCCATCTCCCAACCCCTACCACAGCTGAGCAGGCTGGAACAAATGACCCATAGTGCACTCTTCTCTGCCCCCAGCCCGATGACTGGGAGGAACCTTCTCCAGTTGGGCAAAGAGAGCCAAGGGTGGGCAGGACTGGGGCTTTGAGGCATCTATGGGCCTTGTCCACATTGCCCCCCTCCAAGTTGGGCCAGAAATCACTGGCAGGAGGCGTCATTCCCAGCAGGGTCTCCCTCCAGAGTGACCTTGTGTCTCTTGGGCTTCTGCCAATCTGGTGTTTGTCATACTGCAATTGTGCAGCATCTTCCAAACACCCATCCTGTCCTGCACTTTGCCTGAGCCTCAGAGCATAGCGCCCTGCCATTCCTCATTCTGGAATGGTTTTTCTGATCACCCCCTCCTCTTGTATAAGTTTTTCTTTCATATCTCAGCTGAAGCACAAGGTCCTTGCTGAGCACCCAGTCACCACTCCAACCAGCACACTATCCTACTGTCCCCCACTTTACATTTTCCCAGAGTTTAATCTCAGTGTCTGTCTCAGTTTTTTCCTGTCCTTCCATTGTCCAGAGCCTGGAGCTGTGGACCACTCAGTGCATGTAGCCATTCAGCAGAGCACTATAACAAAGGAGCAGGGGGAGGGGTCGCCATCATGTTTCAGAGGAGAGCTTGCTGAGGTCCCAGACACTGGGGTCCCAGGTCTGTTTGAAGCCCCATTCCCTTTTCCTTCCAGGAGCTGGCAGTTCTTATGTGACCTCTGAAAAGCCCTTGAGAACTCTAGACAGGTAGCCTAGAGCAAGCCAGCGGGTGTCTCACAGGCCCTTTGTTCTCTTCTGTTCAGGCAAGTAGAGCCCAGAGGATGGGCAGTTGGAGTCATTCAGTCAATGGGAGAATTACTCTCATTTCTGTGAGGCAGGTACCTGCAAGTGGCTTGCATAGCTTAGCCTGAAGATCTGACTCCCATGCCCTCCCACTGCACATCTATGCAAGGAAGATTGAGAAGGGTATGAGGCTGGGAATCCAAAGTTCCATGGCTTCAGCAGCAGGGTCTGCAGGATGGAAGGGTCACTTTGCTGCCCAGAGAGTGGGTCATGGGTACAGCCACCTCTCAAACACAAGAAGTGAGTGATGCCACCCAGTTCCTTGACAGCTACAACCCTGAAGCCATCCCAACAGCACAGCCTGGAGCTGCATGGTGACCCTGAGCTAGGGCATCAACAAGGGTGAGGAAGGATACTAGGGGACAGGGGTATGGGAAGCTAAATTGCTGACTGGGTTTGCCTTGATATCATGTACTACTTAGTGGCAAGTCATCTGTTGGCCTCTGCCATGGTGTTCATTCCAGGTCCTTGCCCTCACTTTCTTTCTCATCCACCTCCTGAGAGCTAGGAGATGCTCAGGGGAGAAGTGGCTGTTCCCAAGAGCTGAATATCAAATTGGTGGGGAGAGTTTCATGGAGGCAGTTTTAATGAAACCAAGAGATAGAGTCACAGAAACTGCCTTGTCCAGTGAGTAAGTGAAGGAAAGTGATAAATGTGTTCTACTAAAAGAACCTGACTAATGAAGCTTCTCAGAGAGAGAAAGGTGGATTGCCACATGTCATCTACATGGGTAGATGTACAAATGGGTAGCTTGGTCAGTAGTGACTAGGTTAATGGATGGAAGGAAAGAGATGGCTGGATGGGTAGATGCATTGATGAGTATTTGTATGGATTGATGGATGGGTGGGTGGGTGGATGAGTGGGTAGCCTGGTGGTGAGCTGTCTTTGCTGGGAGAAACCTGAAGAGAGGAGTTTATGTAGTTGTTCTGTGTAAGCAGCAGATCTCTATGTCTCCTCTGAGCTTTGGGATGGTGGAGAAATGTGTTTGTACACACCCTGCACATACTTCCTTTGAGACATACTCTGTCTTGTCAGTGTCCTCCCTCCAGGTGAGGTCAAGACCCATTACTGGTCTGTTTCTCTGTGCCCTCTCCAGATTCCAGGTGGTATCAGAGAACCTGACCCTCTAAGCCCATCATGCTGCTATGTTCACTGTTCTCTGCTCAGACCCTGTCTTTGAACAAGATCTGCAATCACTTGGCCACAGAGCTGGGGGTGGGGGCGGTATATAAAGGGCCTATGATGGGACTTAAAACTCAGGTCAGCTGCCCAGGTATGGCCAGGCCTATGCAGGGGCCATGGCTGGTAAATCAGTAGTGTAGGGCACAGCCAGCCTCAGGCCTGGGTCTATAAGAAGAATGGTGCCCATCACCTTGTGTGGCACACAGCAGGCTCAGTTTCCAGGTGCTGGGTCTTCTGGTACCCTGCACTGCACACAGCAGGCTCAGTTTCCAGGTGCTGGGTCTTCTGGTACCCTGCACTGTACACAGCAGGCTCAGGTCCCAGGTGCTGGGTCTGCTGGGGGGCGGTATATAAAGGGCCTATGATGGGACTTAAAACTCAGGTCAGCTGCCCAGGTATGGCCAGGCCTATGCAGGGGCCATGGCTGGTAAATCAGTAGTGTAGGGCACAGCCAGCCTCAGGCCTGGGTCTATAAGAAGAATGGTGCCCATCACCTTGTACTGCACACAGCAGGCTCAGTTTCCAGGTGCTGGGTCTTCTGGTACCCTGTACTGTACACAGCAGGCTCAGGTCCCAGGTGCTGGGTCTGCTGGTACCCTGCACTGCACACAGCAGGCTCAGGTCCCAGGTGCTGGGTCTGCTGTGTACCCTGCATTGCATATGCATCTGTTCTTCTCTGAGCCTCATTTTCAGCCAAAGTGCAACGTGGCAGGGCCAGAGTGTGCAAACTTGTGGCCCTTGGACTGAACCCAGCCTGCTAACATACATGGAGCCTTAAATGACTTTTATGAATAACTTATTTCTAAAATTTAGGATATTTTGCATGTAAGCCAGGATTTGTGGCATCTCTTTTAAAAATCAAAATCTCTGGCAGGCCTTGGCCCTTGTCTTGTTCTGTCCTTATGGCACCAAGGATTGGACAGAGTCATGCAGGAGCTGGGCCCCATCTGCAGTACCTAAGTGTGCCACTCTGAGAAGAACAGGGTACCTGCCACACATACTGTGACATTCTGTCTCTCCCTGTCCCCTGCTCCACAGCTTCACACAGGCCATGATGAGCCAACCCAAGATGGAAGTCCTGGATAACCGCACCATCTACTTTTTGGGCCTTGCACTCCTGGGTGGGGGTGTCGTGTTTGTGCTATCCAGCTTCTTTGCACTGGGGTTCACTGGGACCTTCCTAGGTAAGACCTGAAGGCTGGAATGACGTTGGGCAGGTATACTGGGGTTCTGGGAAGAGCAGGGCCCAATGACTGGCAACCACCATCTCTTATGTACCTTAGGAAGAATTGGAGACCTAGTCTTTTATGATTAGGATACTGATTTGGCTTTACTATCTCATCTGATGCCAGAGCACCAAGCTGCCTCCTGGGAGACAAGACAGCCCTTAGCCCTGGGTTATAGGCCCCAGGGTACTCTCCCAGGCCTAATTCCCTTGAAGGAGGCTCTTAACCCCTGTTTGTATGGAAGACTGACGTGGTGAGTTGCTCAGGTTTACAGAGTACTCAGGGTACAGTTGAAACTGGGCTAGGAGGCAAACAGAGGCCTTGACAAGATCCTCTACCTCATGGCCACCTTTGAGTCTGCCTAGCACACTTGACTACCAGGTGGTGGGATATTGGCTATGCCAGCTACAAGCAAAGCTGGCACATGTCTAAGATGGGGTAAAAGGTGGAGGGACATTGTCCTATCTCCATCCTCCATTCCCTGTGGCTGTGGTGCTCTGGGACTGGGACCCCAGTGTGGCCTGGCCAGGTGCCTTCTGCTGACAACTTCCAGAACCTTGGAAGTAAAGGAGGGTAAGCTGCTGAGAGGGACTCCAATAGGAGAAACAGGGTAAAGGGCCTTCAGAATAGGGGTGGTGAGAAGGTGGCAATCCCCATCTACAAAGGCACCCCTCCCAGCACCCAGAATATCCTTGGGGCTAGCACAGGCCTACTTAGGCTGGGTCCTCTTCCCTCCTGGCCTCTTTCCCTGCAAAGACTTGGCCAGTCTCTAGATCTCAGCCTCCACCAGGGCCCCTGGTGGTCTGTAAGCCCTGCTGTTACTTAGCTTTCCAGGACACACTTGCTGGCCTGGTCTCTGTCTGGGTCTAGATGTCCAGCAGCAGACTCAGAGCTCTGGAGTATGTATTTAGGAGAGGTAATACCTTGAGGGAGCAGACAGAAACCCTGAAAGTTTCCCAAGGGGCTAAAGTTTCCTTCCCAGGGAGCTGGGGGTCATGGAAAGGGTCATGGAAGAGGAGTGGTAGTCCTAAACCAGAGAAGGTAACCCCAGGTAGGAAACTGGTCTTCCTCACAGGGGTAGGAAGCAGCAGGAGCCCCCCCCCCCCCCCCCCCCCCGCGAGGTCCCCCCCCCGCCTCATCCCTCCATCTCCCTGTCACCCCAAGTCGGCCCTAGGCCACCGAGTCCCCCCTCCCAGGAGGGGGGTGGGCAGTGCAGCCCCAGGTAGGGCCTCCCCACCCCACAAATCCCAGTCAGGCCACTGCCCAGAGGCCCCCAAGGAGAGGATGAGGTGCTGTGCTGTCCAATGTCCTAGAAGACAGGACCAGTCAGCCCTCTGTGAACAGGGCTGGGGATAGGGCAGGGAGGGCTGCAGGCAGCAGGGGCTGAGAGTCAGGGAAGGGGTTTGTGGAGCTGTCTGGGTATAGGAGAACAGGGTGGGGCACTATGGATGGTCAGGGCTAGATGGGGAGACTAAGCAGAAGAGTAAGTCAGAGGGGTACGGGCAGCTCTCAGTAATCTCAGTAGATGTGTCCTAGAAATGTAGAAGGGCCTGTAGGCTTTGCAAGTAGAGCAGAGGGTCCCTCTCCTATGACTCAGCCTAAAACAGGTTTCTGTGCTACCGGCTCCTGGGTCCCACTGCCCTGCTTCCTGCTTCCTCCCAGAGGTTACTGGTAGCCCTTTGGGCTCCAGCATCCTTTGTCCCTGATAATGGCAGCACTATTTCTACTAGGCCCCTCCTGCAGGGGCTTCCCTTGTACTAACTGGCCTACTTTCTGCCTGGGATGAAGCTGTATTGTCCTTCTGGCCTCGTGGGGGGAGGGGGGCAAAGGAGGGGCTGCTGGGAGTGGCTGTACTGGCCCAGCGGGGACACTCACAACGGAAAGGACTGGGCTAGATGCTTTGTTCTGTGAGAGTGACCTGGTTATGGTGCAGTGGGTGGGTGAAGGACTATCTGGCAATCTCCCCTCCCCCCAAGTCAGATCCCTTGGGCTGACAGCAGCATTGGGTTGACCTCCAGAGCAACAGGAGGCATGTGGTGGGCAAGCTGGAGCTAGAGCCACCCTGAGCAGCTGACCATCCCCAGGGGAGAGTGAGGCCTGGGTGGGGAGGGACTAAGGAGGGAGGCAGCCAGGGTGGACAGAAGGAGGAATCAGAAGTGGAAGGAGTCAGAAGTGGGAGTGTGACTCTGGAGGCACAGGTGGGAAGGGTCTCAGAAGGAGGGAGGAAGGCCCCATGAGGAGGGGAGTTCTTTGCAGATCAGAGCAAGGCTTCTCAAGAGAGGGATGAGCAGGTGCAGAGGACCTGGTGGGAAGGCAGGGAGCCTAGCATGCTGGTGCTCAAAGAGAAGAAAGGAGGAGCAGGTGGTGGATGGCAGCATTCCAGCTCACCTGAGGTGCCTATGAGAAGCTCTGATCCTGTATGCTATAGACTCCCCAGTAGCTGGGAACCTCTTAGGGTCAGGGCTCTGCTGCACCTGCAGATCTCTCAAAGCTCACTGGGAATCTCCCTCCTTAATAGTGTGGCCCAGGACACAGATGGCTAAGTGACCCTCTCATCCCGTTTTGATACATCCACAGGTGACTACTTTGGAATCCTCAAGGAGGCCAGAGTGACTACATTCCCCTTCAGTGTGGTGGACAATCCCATGTACTGGGGGAGCACAGCCAATTACCTGGGCTGGGCACTCATGTGAGTACTTGCCCCCCGCCAAGACCCTCAGGATGCACCCAGGCTCTTTTTGTAGTCCCCCAGCCTCCCACCCTGTGTAGGTCCTTCCCTGTACTGCATACAAAGTATTCCTTCTGCCCAGAACTCACCCAGGTCCACCCCTGGCCCATTCTTCCCAACTCAACTTGTGGTGTCCCCTCTTCCAGAAAGTCCTCCCTGCCTCCTCTAAGTTCCTGGCTCCCTGTGCTGGAGTCAGTGGTCAGCTGTCTTTGGGAAGAGTCTACACATATGTCTCCCTATATCACTAGTAGTACCCAGAAGTGATAATCACCCCAAGCTCAGAGTGGCTAGATCAGGGCTCTCAGGAATGCATGGTACTTGCTAGCTGACTCCAGAGGACATTGGTACTCAGTGTTGAGGAGAGGCCCAGCATGCTGGAGATGGAATCTCTGTCTGAGGGTTTGTTAGAGATGTCATTTCCTGGTGGCAGATGCTGACCCAGCAAGTGGACCTCTGGTCTCCCACAGCCCGTCCGTATCCTGCTTCTCAAGGCCCTCTTCTAGGAGTGGAGCCCTGGCATCTAGGCAAGGTGTTACTAGGGGCCTGAGGCTGGTGCAGGCCCTGGACCCCTGGTCTGCTTCCCCAGCCCTACAGCAAGGAGTGGGATCAGCATGATTATCTGCTAGTAGGGCCATCATCTCCACCCTGGCTTGTTAGGAGGTCAAGCTGGACTAAGGTGACAGCAGGTGGATGGGCAAGTTTTCATAGAGATGGGAGTGTCAGGACTGTTCCTGCCTGTATCACCACTTCCCATCAGGACTCTGAGCTTGCCTTGACTACAGGGCCTGGTGCTGCTAGCTGAGGTGGGTATACTTCCCTGCCCCACAACACCCCACCCCTGCTGGGGAGCCAGCTGCCCAGAGCACTTGAGAGCATTGTTGTTCACTCCAGTGTCTTGGATCAAGCTGGGAAGTCTTTTTCAGGGCCTCTCACAAACCTATGGCTGGGGCTATACCAGTGTTTTAGGCACCCAGAGATCTGCTTTATTTAGGAATTGTGAAAGGAAGTCAAGGCCCATGAGTCCATCCTCCTCCATGACATTGGGTAAACTGAGGCTGAGGACTGAGCTCATCACAGACCATATTGCAAGTCTGGGACAGAGATGACCTTGGTGCCCAAATTCCTGGTTCCCAGAGCAGATCTCCCTAGTTTTGCTTGCTTTTTGTGTGGACTATGTTTTCAGAAGCAGGAGTGAACTGTGGGGTCTGGTGGGCCCCCAAATGACAACATGCTCTCAGCCAGCTTGGGGCTAGGGACTCCTAGGAAGAACCCTCCACACCAGCAAGGGTGCCACAAGCAAGAGTTTAGTTCACCAACCACCCTCCAAGATCTGGCCCATATGGTCAGAATGGCAGCAGAGCCCTGGGTGGGGACAAAGTACTTCTTCAGCCAGGAGGGAGAGGTGAACATCTCGGTCCTCCTCAGGCCAGGGAACAGACATGTCTCCAGTTCTGCTGTTCCAAATTCGAAGTCTAAAGACACAGCAAAGACAAAGTCCTCGTTTAGAGCCCAGCGAGCCCAGCTAAGTTCTGGGGGAGGCACAAGTTGAGAACTGAAAGAGCTTTGGGAAGAAGCTCAGCTCAGAGCCTGGGGCTGCCTGGCCACATCCATTGCTGCCACTGTGGCTCCTGGGCAGCTTTGTACCATGAGTGAGAGCAGTAGTCTTAGGAATACTGTGTCCACAAAGCTGGGCCCATAGCAGATCTACCCAGTGCAGTGCCAGCCAGTCTCCTCCCTGTTCCTGAGAGGCCTGGTATATGCTGAGGTTCTCATTCCAGGAGTCCACAGGGTGAGTGGGGCACAGGTTCATGTCCACTCCAGTAGAGTATCTATGGAGATGTGACACAAAGTCTGTCTAGAGCAACAGCAGAGGTGGTGGCTAGGCTACAAGGGCAGGCAGGCCTCATGTTCTGTGCTGTGCAATGGAAGGGGTCCTGTGTCCCTCCCCGACAGACACATGAACAACTGGCCAGTATGAGGTCCAGGTGGGCATTAGAGAGTAGGCTTGCCAGAGTCCCTGAAGGAAACACACTCTCTTTTTGCCTCTCTGCCCTTGGATAGCTAGGGGCATCCAAGGAGAGCAGAGCCCCCTGTAGCCTGAGGCCTGTCCCTGTTCTTCTGACCCTCCCCTCCCCCAATCCTGCTGAGATGAACTCAGCAGCCCAGGCTCTGCAAGAGCCAGTGGAGCCAGAGGTAACCATAGAAATAGATTGGGGGGTAGCTCAGCAGTAGCTATTTCTGGAAACCTGAAGCAGACAAACTTGGGCTCCTCTCTGCCATCACTAACAGGCTATCTATGTTCATCAGCACAGCGAGGTCAGAAACTGGTAACCTATAGAGAGCTGTGACAGATGCTCTGTGCATACTGTGCCAAGGACTCCTGTCCTTTAGGGTATGGCTAGTGAGACACCTGGAACCCATGCAATACAGGCCAGCATGAGCCTCCTGGCCATCTGGGGGAAGGGCTAGGTATAGGAGGAAGCTCCTTCCCATAGCCAGGGCTGCCTAGGACAGTGGCTACTGGCTACACCTGTGGATGAGCCAGAGTTTAGATGGCAGAACCTCCCCTAAGGGGCCATGTACTCACAATGGCTCCGATTGGCCTTCTACATGGGACTTATTTCCTAAGAATGCTGTCCGATGAGCAGTGAAATTGTTTCCTATCGCAGAGTGTCATCTCAGAGCAGGCTAGAGTGGAGACTGCCTGTCAAGGTACCCTTCCTTCCTTCCTGACCCCTCCTGTTTCCCTAGCCACATTGGTGGACCAGCTGATTCAGACCCTGACCACAGCAACCCTGGCCTCTCTAGAAGACCAGACTTTGGAAGGGGCACCACCAGGCTTGGTTTGTCCACCAGGGTCCTCATCATCAGATGAGGGCCCACTCTGGTGGCAGGAGGGGCCACCCTACTGACGGTGCATCTGTCTGCAGGCACTCCAGTCCCACAGGCCTGCTGCTGACGGTGCTGGTGGCTCTTGTCTACATGGTGGCTGTCCTGTATGAGGAGTGAGTAGAGCTATGGCAGGGTGGGACATGGAAGTTGTCTTAGTTTCTTTCTATTGCTGTGATGAAAACACTGACCAAACCAAAGGGAAGGGTTTATTTTATCTTACACACCTCTCAGGTCACAGTTCATCACTGAGGAAAGTCAGGGCAGGAACTCAGCAGGAACCTTGGAGGCAGGAGCTGAAGCACAGACCATGGAATGGTGCTTACTAACTTGCTCGGCCTGCTTTCTTATACAACTTTGGACTACCTACCCACGGGTGGCACTGCCCACAGTTGGCTGGGCTCTCCCATATCACTCAACAATCAAGAAAATGTCCCACAGACATCGTCACAGGGCAAGCCAATGGAGGAAATTCCTTAATTGAGGTTCTCTCTATCAGTGTCAAGTTGTCAATGAAAGATATCCAGCACAGATGTGATGGTTGAGTTAGGCCAGACCTGTCCTTTAGAACCTTTTCCTGAGGTCTAGCAAGCTTCATCAGGCTGTTGGCAGCTGGGCTAGTGCCAGACCTCCAGTCAAGAGGCTCAGGACAGGTATACCTGGTACCTAAGACCCAGGAAAGCTGGCAGGTGGCCCTGGTTCCTCCAGGCCCCTCTTGTTCTTTGAAGCCTCTAGGCAGCTCTGAGGGACAGTGGGATGCGGGTCCTACACTCACTGGTGAGGCAAGTTCTGGTACTGGGGTGGGGTGGTCTTCTGGAACAGCCTACTGGAGCCTTTCCATGCCCACAGGCCCTTCACTGCTGAGATCTACCGACAGAAAGCCACCAGGTCACACCGGAAGAGCTGACAGGGCCTCGAGGGCTTTGTGGAAGGCTGGGCTGGCTTCCTGGCTACCCCAAACACCAATCTTGCTTGGGGAGAGTGGCGCCGGCTACTGTACCCAGTGCCTTGGAAACCAATCTTCATGGCCCCAGACATGCTGCCACGTGGCCATTTGAGCTCCCCATCCCTACCATGCCCCCCGCCCCACTAATAAAGGCACTCTGACCTCAGCACCCCTGTGGGCCCCTTTCCATCCTCGTCCCCGGAGGGTGGAATGGCCTCTAGGCTATGGGAGGGCAGGACAGGGAAAGGGACAGTATGTCCTTTGAGGGCTTCTGGGCTAGGCTGGCTTGGCCCTTTCTTCCCAATGTAGTCTCCCAGTGCTGTCCAATCTTCACAGTTAAGGGACTCTCAGAAGGCCTCAGTGATAGAACTGGTGTAGCCACAGCTTCTCCCTAGGCTGTGTATACCCTGAGTCACCTGCGATGCTTGCTTCAGTACTCCAAGAACATGTTCTCACTGCCTGAGGGACCCAGTTCAGCATCTACCAACCTAAGGGTGAAGGTATATTACTGTGTTGACCTTGACACCCTAGTCTAGCTGGAACATCTCCCCATCTACACTGTCATTCCACTAAAAGTGCCACCCAATGGCTAGACACAGATTGGACATTTTCTGTGTCTATCTGAGCTGGTGAAATCCAGCTAGGGAAATGGGATGAGTAGGCAGGGCACAAGTAACCAAGTGAGTGGGCTCAGGAGTTGACAGGGGTGGCAGAGGTGACCAAAGGAGCATTCTTCTCTGCCCCTCCTAGCCGTATGGCCACTGGCACCTTGACCCCCAGGACTCTAGCCTCCTGATGGATGAGTTAGAGGTTCCTAAGCTTGCTGGACTTTAGGGTGACCATCTAGCTCACCAGAGACCTTCAGCCCTTTAACTCAGCTGCATTTCTATGCTGGGGCTTCCCACTGGCCTGTAAGGCCTTGTAAGGATTGGGGTTCTAGAAAATCAGCCTACACCTGTTTCAGGCCAAGGGAGCCCATCTTGGGGCTCTTGGGATACTGTCTTAAGAGCTGCCTTCCCTGATATCCTGTCATTGTCACTCAGAACTCTAGGCCAAAGCTTGTCTGGACTTTTACAAAGTGTCCCAGATCCACCATCTTACTGTGCACAAGGCTATATAGCAGGGCTCCTGGTTCACATTTCTGAGCCCTCTGAGGAAGCGTGGGTTTCCCTTCCCAGTCCCAGGCCAGAGCATCAGCTGGAGTTCCAGCTGGGACTACACTTTTCATTAGCAAAGCCTCATAGCCTTGCTGCTTTTGGCCCTTGACAGAGGCCAGGGTTGCCACTGAGTCCTGCCTCTCCCTCAGACCCTTCTGGGTGGGCAGAGGGTGCCAAGACTCCTGAAGCAAGCTGTTTAAGCAAGTCCAGTCTCACAGCCCCGACAGGTGTTCCTGTGAGGCTGATCCAGAAAAACTTTGAAACCCTTGGCTCCAAGTGAAAAATAGAGGTGACCCCCTTTGCCAATGCATCCTCCACACTCAGGGAAGCTCAACTCTGAGCACCTATGTCCCTGCATGTACCCATATACTCAATGCCAGGTCATAGGCAAGGGCAGTGGGAGGAGGCAGCATCCTGGCAACCAGCCCCACCCCAGCCTGGGGGGACCTCCTGGAAGGCTCCGTCATCTCCCTATTTCTCGCTGGACTCAGGTTGCCACACTGGGGCTCACACACATGCACCCAGTCCTGCTGTATGAAGAGCAGAACCCATGGCCCACTTCTTCCAGAAGAAGACCAGGCTTCTTTCTCCAGGGCAGTGTCCTCTGCAGTCCCTTCCCCGCTCTTGACATCAGGTCACCTCCACATCTACCTTGGCTGTTGCTGCCACCTGGAACATCTCTCCCATCCTGTCATCCAGTAACACTGAGAGACTTCCAAACCAGGTAAAGAACAGTTTCAGATCCTGCTCTCAGGAGATTGGCCCCTCTGTGACTGTCATGGTTGGATGTGTGTCAAATTGCTGCTGCTGTAGTCCTGTGGTGTCTTCAGTCTCCAACCTGCGAATGACTTGAGTTTTGAAGCAAGATCTTGAGTTGTGCAGGTGTCAGTAAAGCGGTAGGAGAGGGCTGCACAGGTCAAGGCTCCAGGCCTGCTTCAGATACCTCCTCTCCCAACAATGGAGGGGGCTGGATAACAGCAGGAAAGTGACAGGGTCTGTGGTGGACAGTGAAGAGCCCTGCTTTTAGTCTGGTTTCAGTGCTGATTTTAACATTCTCATTGAAGTGTCACTTGTACCACAGGGACAGTTCACACACTGAGTAGACAACCTGACACTCCAAACCCTCCTGCTAATGCCTCTGGCCTGTGCTCCTTGTGCACTCAAGCTGTAGTGGTACCTGTTTCCTCTTTGTTGCTGACTTTAACCCATTGTATGGGTAGATGACATTTTCATCACCCCCAAATAGGCCCTGTGTGCCATAGCTGTCATCTACAGCTCTCCTCTAGCATTAGTCAACCATTTGCTTGCTTTCTGTCTCTCAATTTTTCCTCTGAGCATTTCATCTGAACAAACTGCTGGGTTTGTGCTTCTGTATCCAGATGTTGATACAGCATAATGTCCTTGAATTCCATCCATGCTGTGTCATGTATCAGCATTTATCTTGGTCTGTCTATTAAGTATCACAGACTAATTTACAAAGGAAAAAAGTTTGTTGGCTTGTAGTTTTTCATTTTTTAAATTTTATGTACATGAGTGTTTTGTGTGTATGTATGTAAGGCACCTATGTTGTACAATACCCACTGAGGTCAAAAGAGGGTGTTGGATGCCTTGGAACTGGAATTAGGGATAATTGTGAGCTTCCATGTGGGTGCTGGGAACTGAACCAGGGTCCTCTGCAAGAGCAGACAGTGCCCTTAACCAGAGTCCCTGACTCATAGTTCTGAAGGCTGGAAGTTCAGATTGGGTGGTATGTTAGTCAACTTTCTGTCACTGTAACAGAATACCTGAGACAATCAATTTATCAAAAGACAGGGTTTTTGTTTTGTTTTGTTTTTTAGCTCAAAGTCTGAGGCTTTAGTCCCTGATTAGGTGGCCCTATTGCTTTGGGCTCATAGCAAGACAGTACGTGGTGGTGGGAGCACATGGTGGCGTAAAATGGTCACCTGATAACCAAAAAGCAAAGGGAAAATGAGGAAGGGGCTGGAGCCTCACAACCACATTCAAAGGCACAGTTGCCAATAAACTAAAGACTATCTACCAGGCCTCACCTCTTAAAGGCTCTGCCACCTCCCGATGACCCAGCCTTTACCACAAGAGCTTCTGGGGGACATTCAATCTCCAAACTAGCAGGTGGCCATATCTGGCTACGCCTTGCTGGTGGAGACTGCTTGCAGAGTCCTAAGGTGAGGAAGAACATCACATTGCAAGACCACATCCTGGCTCATGTCTCTGCTGCTCTTCTAATGGAGACATAGTCCTACTGGACTGCAGCTCTACACTATGCCCCCATTTAACCCTGACTACCTCCTACCTCAAACCCTACAGTTAACTGTTTCACTCTCTGATGCCTCCTTGTGGGACACTGCTTTGGTGGGCACCCCAGCCATAGTGCTACCTCCTCCCTCTTTATTGCTGAACACTGTATGTCACCCATGTCTCATCTACTCATCAGCAGGTGGGCACTGGGTTGTTTCCACTTTGGGGCTGTTGTGAGTAGCACCTCTTAGAACACTTGTGCACCTTTTTTTTTTTTTTTTTTTTTTTTTTGTTTTTTGGTTTTTTTGAGACAGGGTCTCCCTTTAGCCCCAGCTGGCCTGGAATTCACTATATAGACCAGGCTGGTCTTGAATGCACAGAGATCCCCCTGCCTCTGCCTCCCAAGTGCTGGGATTAAAGGCGTGTTTTTGAGACAAGGTCTCCCTGTAGCCCCAGCTGTCCTGGAACTCACTATGTAGACCAGGCTGGCCTTGAACTCACTGAGATCTGCCTGCCTCTGCCTCCCAACCTGTGGGATTAAAGGCATGCGCTACCATGCCCAGCTACTTGTGCACCTTTTTTTTTAATACAGATGCATCTTTTCATTTCCTTTGAATATGTGCTTAGGGGTGGAATTGCTAGGTCTTAAAGTAACATACACTTAACATTGAGTCACCTCTAGACAGTTTGAAATGGTGTCTGCATCATTTTACATTCTCGTTTGAACGATCATCTTTCTTTCCTGAGATGGGAGTCTCCCTATGTAGTCAGATAAGTTTTTGTGTTCTCACAGAACTGGGGATCAAATCCAGGCTTAGCACATGCTGGGCAAGTACTCTCTACCACTGAACTCTGTCCCCGGTCCTTTACTGTGTCATCAGATGAGACCTATCTGAGGGGATGACATTGGAGTGAAGACCCACAAACAAGAGGGAACAAACTGAAGGCCGATCCTTCCAGGCATTAAGAGTGGCAAAAGCCAAGGTTCTGGGCTGAGAGCTCTGAAACACTGAGCTATTGGGGGTAGTGGCCATGGGCACCTGGCCACTTGCAAGATGCTGGGCTGTCACACTCATATTGTGCTGAACCCCAGGTCAAGTCTAGCCCAGATGAACTGGCCTTGAAGACAGAATCTCCTTTGTGGAATGGGATGTCCAAGAGTTCTTTCCCACTGCCTGGCCCTGTGCCCGACACACTACTCCTTTTTGGCCTCTGAAGGATCCTCGAAGACTGTTGTGTGGGGCTGTAGGAAGTGCTATGGCTGGGTGAAGCAGGGCTAGATTCTTCAGATCCAGCTAGTAGGACTCTGCATGCCATAGGGAGGAAGGGAATGGGGTGGAGTGGGACCTGAGGAACACTGAATCATGGCTGGGGTCCACCTGTTTTGATAGCAGAGGGGCGGGTGACTTATACCAGTGCCCTCCTCTCAGACCCAGCTTCCAAGAATCTTCCTTGTGGGAAGGTTGTGTGGCTGGCATTTCCTGCCCATGGATACCTGTCCCCTGCTGGACCACCTCAGAATCTTGTCAGATGCTCACAATGCTATTCTGAGCAGGAAGCAAAAGCTGCTACAAACCTGAGCAGTGGCAAAGCCCATGATGGCTGTCAGGGCTGGCAGAAGAAGAATGCACATGCCCTCCCCTGTATGGGGCACAGTGTCCTGAGGAGGAAGGCAGGCAGTGGTTATGTGGGGCTGTGCTGCTTTATCTTTCAGACTCTCAGCACTCAGATAAGTCAGCTCTGGGCTGGGCCTCAGCTACCGTCACAAAGGCAAAACTGGGAGAAGGAAAAGGAGACAAATGCATCAGGAGCTGGCTGCAGCAGGGTTCGAATGCTGACATCCTCTGTCCCACTGGAGTCTGGCAGAGTTTGCATGATGCAGTCAGCTCAGCTGGCCTCAAGCCATGGCTAAGTGGCCTGCCTCTTGCTCCTGTCAGTCTGGTTCTTTCTGAAATGGCTTGAGTTTTTAAATCCAAGCATTTATTACATTTTTGTTAAAAAGAGATACCCTTTAAAAAGGAAAAAAGTGGGAATGTTGGCTGCTTGACAGAAGGGAGGTCCCAAGCTGGGCATGTAGCAGCAGGGGTTACATGAACTTGCTGCTTAAGTAGAATCTGCATAACTCAGCATTATTGGCTGGGTATACCTGACTCAAAGGTACCAGGAATCACCAGTACCTGCCACTGCCACCTTCCAGCTAGAAGGGGCTGAGGTATGGTATCAGACCCAGTCTTGATACTGACTAGTAAGGAAAAGGAGGGCATGATCTAAAGTGGGCCCTGGTCCCCTGGATGTCCATATGTCCATGGGGAGAGCTGGGCCAGATCTTTGACCCTGCCACCACCCTCTTTTTTTTTTTTTTTTGAGACAGGGTCTCCCTGTGGCCATGACCCGTCTGGAACTCACTATATAGACCAGGCTGGCCTCAAACTCACAGAGATTCACTTGCTTTTGCCTTTGGAGTGCTGGAATTAAAAGCATGTACCACATGCCACTCCACCCTCAATTCTTATCCCTTGGATCCTCCTGGGACTGGAACCCAGGAGGATGGTGGCATGGGCTCTGGTCATCCTGAGTCAGAACCCCAGCTGTCCATACAATACTTGTGGGGGGCAGAGGAAATGACCCTCAGTCTGGCATGAGAAGCCCTTGCCTGCATCCTTGCATGGCCCCTTCCTGCAGGGAACACCCTGTGCTGCTGTACATGGCAGTGCTGTGGGTAGCTTGGGCCCTGGTCCTTCTCACAGATTGGGATAGACATTCATCCCAGATGGAGAAGAAAGGGGAACATCAGGATGGGCAAGAACCAAGAATGACAAGGGACTATCTGAAGTGACTCTCCTAGATCTAGCTGATGAGTGTGGGTGTCCTCTCTCAGATGTGAATGCTGAAGTGGCCTGGGAGGGAGGCGGGGTGAATCTGGATGCTGTGAAGGTCTCTGCCCTTTGAGGCTGAGATGGGGCCAGACACTTGCAACAGCTCCTGTAGTTGGCACTGTTGGTGGGGTGGGGCAAGCAGAGGAGGAATCTAATGGTTGAGAGCCAGGGGTCCAAGCCTCACAGCTAGTTATTAAGCAGGTCAGCTCCCTGAGGCTGAGCTCAGATCCTGGGTCGTGAGAAGGGAATGAAAGCCTTGGGTACTGTGTAAACATCTGGACAGGTGGGATGACATGGGGCGCCAGGATGGCAAGGATGGGTGGGTGGCATTAGTCCATGACTGTCAAGGTTTCTCCTAAATCAGATAAGGTCAAAGCAGGATGAAAACAGCCTGACTTTCCTATCAGCTGCAGACTGCACACAGCCTGTTTCTGGGCGTCCCAGCAGCATTACTCAATCTTGGTTACTGATCAACCAACGTGCCACTGGCCTCCTCCTTGGGCAGCCTCCCATTTACAACATTGTTATTGTTCAGAGTGGGCCCCACCCTCCCAAAGTGTTTGCAATTACGCAGTCAAAGAAGGAGTCATCTTCTAGAAAGGGAAGGTGAGATCTAGGCAAGGCCTGTTCTCCCAGGCCTTCTTTGAGGCTTTGGGCCCCACATAGCGCCACTAGTGACAAAAATGAGACTGACCCACTGAAGGGAAAAGCCCAGAATGCTATGTGGGAGGGCGTTGGGCATGCTAATTGGGCTTGACCAAAGAGCATGGCTCTTGTGTATGGGGTCAGGGGCAGAGGGATGGTAAGCTCCCTTGCTGAGGTCCCCTCAGACCACAGTCTATCTCTAGCTGGGAGAACAGAGCAGGTTGGGGTCTACAGTTGATCACGAGAGTGGTAGTCGGCTCCAGCTGGGCCTCAGCCAGGTGCTCCAAGGCTCCCTCACCGCGCTACGACCCTCGCCCCACTTCAGCCCAGCCAAGGTTCCCCACCCCTGGTGCGCTGTGGAGCGTCCCCTGCCGCCCTCTGGTGGCCGGACCGGATCGTGGCGCAAGTAGCCTGGAAACTAGCCACTGCGTTCCCCCAAAGCAGCACCGGCTTGGGGACAAGAGAGGCTGATGCTGGGGCTCGCGTCGCGGAACGAGGTCACCTATGCAGACACCCAGCAAGCTTGTTGCCAACTAATTTCGGAAAAAATGGCACTCAAGGAAAGAGCGTCTGTGCACGGATGTTGCGAGGGTGGGAGTCTCCGCAAGAAGTCGGGGGCGGGGGTCCGCAGTTCGGCCAGGACTCCAGCACCCCTTGGGGCCGCTGCATGGGGAGCGGTTGGGAGGTGCGGGGTCCGCGCCTGGCCGTAGTGGGCAATCGATTTCCAACTCGCGGGCCACAGCCGGCCGAGGTCGTTGGGCGGTGGGGAGCGCTGGGCGGTGCGTGACGTACGGAGGCTGGAAAGCGGCGGGGGCGGGGCGGATCCGGACTACCAGACCGCTGCATATAAGGACCGTGTGGGGCTCGGAGATCTAGAGCAGGCTGTCTGAACCCCAGCCTGAGTTCAGCCGAGCCCTCCCGCGACTCCCACCACCCCTCCGCGCCTTCGGCCGCCCTCCGCCTTCTCTCGCTCCGCATTCGTCCCGGGGGCCCCTCTGCCCAATGAAACTGGCCGCGATGATCAAGAAGATGTGCCCGAGCGACTCCGAGTTAAGTATCCCAGCAAAGAACTGCTATCGCATGGTCATCCTCGGCTCATCCAAGGTGGGCAAGACGGCCATCGTGTCGCGCTTCCTCACTGGCCGCTTCGAGGACACCTATACGCCCACCATTGAGGACTTCCATCGAAAGTTCTACTCTATCCGCGGCGAGGTCTACCAGTTGGACATCCTGGACACGTCCGGCAACCACCCGTTCCCCGCCATGCGGCGCCTCTCCATCCTCACAGGTGAGCCGGGCCGGGGGACCTGGGGGGGTTGGGGGGGGCTCGCGCTGTCCCGTGCCTGACAGCCGCCCTCACCTTTCCTGCTCGCTCCCCCGTAGGAGACGTTTTCATCTTGGTGTTTAGCCTGGACAACCGCGACTCCTTCGAAGAGGTGCAGAGACTCAAACAGCAGATCCTGGACACCAAGTCTTGTCTCAAGAACAAAACCAAGGAGAATGTGGACGTGCCCCTGGTCATCTGCGGGAACAAAGGGGACCGGGACTTCTACCGCGAGGTGGAGCAGCGGGAGATCGAGCAGCTCGTGGGCAACGACCCCCAGCGCTGCGCCTACTTCGAGATCTCGGCCAAGAAGAACAGCAGTCTGGATCAAATGTTCCGCGCGCTCTTTGCCATGGCCAAGCTGCCGAGCGAGATGAGCCCGGACCTGCACCGCAAGGTGTCTGTACAGTACTGCGACGTGCTGCATAAGAAGACGCTGCGGAACAAGAAGCTCCTGCTGGCGGGCAGCGGCGGCGGCGGCGACACCCGCGATGCCTTCGGTATCGTGGCGCCTTTCGCGCGCAGACCCAGCGTGCACAGCGACCTCATGTATATCCGCGAGAAGGCCAGCGGCAGCAGCCAAGCCAAGGACAAGGAGCGCTGCGTCATCAGTTAGGAGTCCCCGCCACAGGCCCTCAACCAAAGGAAGATCTTTTCCAAAAGTTAACTTCTGACGCCCCGTGGCCCTGTGCGCCAGCGCTGCCCACCGGCCTCCCTTCCTGCCACCCTGCCTTGAGCACTAGGGAGACATCGCCAAAACCAAGAAGGGACGGTCATCCGCTGTGGAAAGAAAGAGAATTGGCTAGGACTGGGACTCTTTTGCTTCTAGTTACCCCTTTACTTGTGCCTGCCCCCTTGACGGGGGCCGGGGGGGGCGTGACCCAGCCGAAGGGCATTTGGCATTTTCCTCAGAGAATTAGAGCGGTGTCTTCATCTACCTGTGAGGCTTCTAGTAACCGTCCTGTCTGCTGGAGGGTCAGAACCAACAGGGCATTATCTTTGTGACTGGCGTTGCCATGACAGCTGGCAGTCACCTCTGCCCTCCACAGACTGGAGACTGTAGGGTGGTATGGGTTGCATCATACCCAAGAGACTTGTTTACATGTAGGGGTGTGTGTGTGTGTTGCCCAAAAGAAAAAAACCACAAAACTTGCACTTTAATAGTTCTAGTGTCAACATGGGCATGAACAAAATTTCTACATTTGTATTATGTGAGATCTTTATAACTTTTTTTATTTAAAATAAAATAATTAAAAATGGAAAACTGAGCTTTATTTGCTCTTGCTTTCAGAAGGTCGGTTCCTGGGGAAGGAGGGGGGGGGTGACTGTTCACAACTCCAGCCTTCCTACTTCCAGGTGGGCCAAGCAAAGGTCAGGGGCCACCCTAGAGGCCTTTCCTGTTTCCCCTGCCTAGCCTTTAAGTACCCCTTATTCTGGCACAGAGGGCATCATTTTGGGGGAACAATTTTTTTTTAATTTTATGCGTGTATTGCCAGAACATTTTTACTCTCCCTTGGTACAGCACGTTATTAGATGGGGGAAGGCTACAGAAAGCCATCAAGCTTGATAATGATGTGTTACCCTGCCCCACTGTCATAAATAAGGATCCTGAGCCTGATAGATGGATCTGGGAAGAGGCTGGTACTGAATGCTTATACCCTGCCCCAGGCTCACCACCATGAGACCAGTGTCCATGGCTTGCAGTGTAGCTTTTAGAAGCATTCTGCACAAGCCCATCTCCTCTGTACCCTGCTGTCTCCCTCTGTGGTTAAGGGCAGCTGCTCACAGCTTGTGAACCAACTTTCCCTGCCACTACTATTGCAAACCTGGGACAAGTGTTAACTGCCAAGCTTCCAATTAAGCAACTGAGAAAAAAAGGTGTTCTGTGTGAGGTTCAAAAGGGACTAGGCACAATTGCTGTACCCCATGAGCCAAGTATTTGGTGGCTCCAGGAGCCCTGGAAGGACACACAAAATTGTTCTGAGGGTGGGATTTCAATCCTGCCCTGGGAAGGGCTGCTCCCAAGGGCTGGGCTTCCTTAAATCACAACAATAGATGGCTAGGCTGCTTTGGGAGACTTGCAGGAGACCTGCAGGTTTTTCTGGAGGTTTAGTAGATGCATGCACCAGGTGGAAGAAGGAGCACAGTGAGCACTGCCTCCATACTACCAGGGAACACTTCAATCTAATTTTTCTGTATAAAACTGTGATTGCCTGAGTTTGACTCCCAGCACTGCAAGAAACAGACATCAAGCAAATCACATGTCCTGAGAGCAGAGCATACTTTTAATTACACATTTGAAAAACGTTACAGGTGCTGACATTGGAACAGAGAGAAGGCTCCACCTCCCTCCAGCCCTGCAAGGAGTGCTCCTGGCTGAAAGATTTCAAGTTCTTACACTTCATGTGCTCTGTGCTTCATGGGGTTTGGTCAGAGCCTTAAAACTGGCTCACCCACTGCTCCGAAATTTCCAGAAAAGAACTGATTCAGTTAAACAACAGTCCTGAGGTAGAGCTGGTCTAGGTGCCCACTACTCTAACTCAGGGCCAGCTCTTCTGCCAAAGCCACTGGAACCTGAGACCTCCTTTCACACACAGCCATGGGGACAGCAGTGTCGCACCTGGGACTAGCTGGACACACTTAAGAAGTAGAATGTAGCTAGGCCTAGCTCCCCTGCCCTTTGCACATGACCCAGACCCCACAACCCCCATGGCTGATGGACCATCCCAACTGTCCCCTACAGTCACTCTCCTCCAAACCTAAAGTGTGCAGGGACTGTGTGCAGGGCAGCAAATGTGGCTTACTCCTTGGCAAGGGAGACAACTCTGTAAGCCAAGGGCTGTGAATCAGGTCAGAGCCACTTGCCTAACAGCCTCTTTGAGCCCTTATGAGAAGGACAAAGGGCGCCAGGGAAGAGCTGCTTTGGCTATTCTCAGCACTGCCTAGAGTGACAGAGATAGAGAGAGAAAAAGCTGAGTGTAAGGAAAGCATGCAGGAGACTAGAGTGGGTAGCTGACCAGCAGGAATGTGGGCTGATGCCCCTAGAGATACAGTTCCATTCACCAGCTCAAACATAAAAGGAACTAAACTGTTTTGAGAAAGAAGCCACCCACCCCTTGGCTTTTCAAAATAATGTTCACTCTCTCACAGCCTTCTTTAATTAAATTCATGCCATCTGAGTGCAGGCCTAATTCACCCAGTGAATTCTATGCAAATGTTTCATGAAACTGCTAAGGGGAACAGTATGTACCAGGTACGGGCTGATGGTATCACTGTGGGAAGTGCAGAGAGCAGGAAGCCAACAGCCACCTTCTCTCCCACTATGCTCTCTGAGTCTGCTAGTGGGGCCTGGGGCCCAGACATAGCAGAAGGCCCCTCCAGGGGCAGGAGGCCCCCATGAACAAGTCCTTACATATCATATACACACAAAACTTGCTGGAGTGAAGGCTGAGTACAGCCACTGAGGCCCCATGCTGCCCCATCTGGCCTCACAGTTCAGAGCTGGGCTCCCAAGGAGCTACCCATTAAGGGTGTGGCCCTCCTGGGAGCAGGCCCTACTCCTTGGGGATCTCAAACATGCAGAGGCTCTTGTACTTCTGCAGAAGGTCATTCTTGGTCCTGACTTGCTCTCGGAGGCTGAGAAGCTGCTGTTGCTGGTGCTCAGGGCTCAAGTGGATGCCGGGCATGGTGCTAATTAACTTCCGCATCTCCTGGAACTTTGTCTTGAGGGCATTCAGATCCTGGTGGACATCTGGGCTGTCTTTGTCCATGCTGTGGGGGTCGGAGGGAAAAGACAATCAGTCATTAGCAAATACAGCATATCCCTACAATGCCTTCCCCACTCCACACCCTCTGATACCTTTTAGAATGCTCTGTTCGATATGTCTGTCCTCTGAGCCCTAGAGGAGAGGGATTGGTTACTTCTTTTAGTTTTAAGCTAGGCCCTGAAGATACTTCCTTGACTAGCACACTGGTCAAGTCAGATGCTTAAACTTTCTACCCCTGTGAGGGTAGAGCCTCATCACAGCTGATTCCCCACTTATGTCCTAGCTGGTGCATAGGACACCATAGACACTTGGGAAACATTTGTTGGGGCTGGGGAAGATACCTCAGTGGGTAAGGGCACTTGCTGCACAAGCACGAAGATCTGTGTTAGGATCCTCACCATGTACAATCAGGGAAGAGCCACATATGAGCCTGTAACTCCAGCAGTAGGGGGTTGGGAGCAGAAACAGGTATATCCCAGGAGCTGACTAGCCCAGTCAGCCTACCTGGAACAGCAAGTGAATCATGGTAGAGCCGGACATCCAAAGCCTCCCTCTGCCCCCACCCTCAACACCAAAACACTTGTCAAAAGAATGATACCTGGAAAGGAAAGTCCACTGCCATGCTGAATGAACACACCATTACCGATCATCAGCTGACCAAACCAAACTTGATGAAATACTCCATTTTATCTAATTTGAGTTATTTCTAAGCCAATCAGGAGGCTTTGTCAGTTAGCCGGAGCTAAATTTAGCTAAGGCCTGATGCTTAATAAGCCTTTTAACATAAAGACTAATTTCTACAGAGCTATTCATAAATTTTAAATCAGTTACAAGCTACTGGAAAGTGTCCAGCAGATACAGGCTCTCTCCTACCATAGCTCTGCAAGTGCCTTGCCAGTCAGTTCATTCTGCAGGCAGATCATTCACTTCCTTTCACAGCTACAATCAGCTGCAGAGATTTGTGCTCCTTTCACTATCAAACTAAAAGCAAAACAAGAACCAAAACCCTCATTAAGAGCAAAGAACTCGCCCGCCAGCTGTATATTTCTAGAAGCCAGTTAAGTGGAGGAGCTTTGGAAAACAAGCAGTTGAGACTGGAAAAAGAAATGGCAGTTCGGTAAGCTGTTCTAAAAGGAAGTCATTGACGCATGAGAGAGAAAACTATCAATGAGTGTTTTTAATAAACATCCATTCTGGGTGGGATTGTCAACCCAGATGGTGCTAATTCATGTTTATTATGCACCATACTTCTCCACTTACTCAGGCAGAGATCTGGCTTCCTGGCCATTCTCTGACTGTGTCTCACACCTTGTGGATCAGTTGGCTACCAGGCCTGCTCACTACTCTCCGACAGCTCTAACTTTAGAAGTGGGATATGGAAATCAATCATTTCTTTCAGGTGAACAGCCAGATAAACACTTATTGCTGTCATCTGACGCCCTCAACTCAAAGATACAATATGCAGGTGCAGGTAACTGTACCTTTTCTCAGCTGTCAGGGAGGGGTAGCTAGGCCTCAGGACAACTGCAATGGTTTTGGAAGAGGGCATCAGGGAACAGCTTTTACTGTTTTCTGGTACAGGGGATGAAACTCAGGCCCTCACACACAATGGGCAAGTGTAGTATCACTGAGCTATATTCCTAGCTAGGAAGTGGATTTTAATTTGTTTTTGTTTATTTTTTTGAGAGGGTCTTACTAAATGGCCCTGGATAGCCTTGAACTTACAGCTATCCATCTGCCTCTACCTCCCAAGTGCTGGGATTAAAGGTGTGTACCGTCATACCCTGCCCATCTTTTAATTTTTTAAGTTTCAGCCTGGTCCCACAAATCTGAACAGAAGCTATTTGGACTTCTGTAGGCACTCTAATTGGAGGACATGTGTGCTAGCACATTGTTACAAATTTAAGACCCAAGGAAATGTTGAAATTTAGAATATACTGTTAAGGACATTGGTTCACATCACAAGTGTATCTAGGAGGACACAATAAAAACAAACAAAAATACATAAAATTATTGTGGAAAGAACTTTATGGTAATCTAGTTCTTGAAGTAAACCTAACCCTGGCCTAAAAGAAATTCTAATTTTAAAAGTAAATGGTGGGCCATGTTTAAGATGTTCACTTCTGAAGCCCTCTAAATTCCAGGATTAGCCATTCTTTACTGGGTGAACTTTTGGGAAAGGAGGTAGCCTTCAGATCAGAAACAAGCCGTATGAAAAGCCACCTGGAAGGGAGCTGAGCCTCCTAGCCCCTGCCGTGAGCTGTTCATCTGCCCTAGTTGGTGGTGGTAAATAGCACATTAGTCCTGGGGTGAGGGAAAACACTCTATTTAGGAACTGGATCAAACCAAGAGGCACCTGTTATGCCAGGATGACTGTGAAATGCCCAAAGAAAAGGATAAGGCCCAACAAGGAGTGAAGAAAAGTAGAAAGCTCTAAATGGGCCTGCCTTTGTGCTCAACATTAGTCACCATCCAACTTTAGAAGGAGACAGGGAGAGAGGGAGACAGACACAGACAGACAGACTAGGCCAAGAATGATGAAAATCATATAAACAAGGACAAAGTTAGGATACTTTGGTTCTACCTATTATGGTTTTTAAGAGCGGGCAAAAATACCACAGTGATGGGGTACTCAGAGCAGAGCATCCTCTAGCAACAGTACAGGAACCTAGGCCTGTATCTCTTGGACAAAAAGTTTAGAACTGATGGATGCATCTAAGAACCATATCCTGATTTTCTTTTTAAATTGTTTTATTATTTTATGTGTATGAGTATACTGTCTGCATGCAGGTAGGTGCACCCGTGTTGTACAATGCCTATGGCGGTCAGAAGGCAGCATCAAATCTCCTGGAATTGAGTTATGGATGGTTGTTATCCACCATGAGGGTGCTGGGAATCAAACCTGGGTCCCTGGCAAGAGCAGTCAGTGCTCACAATCGCTGAGTCATCTGTCCAGCCCCAATTTTACTTACTTTTTAAAAATAGCATAGATGAAAACTGGCAACAAGTGAGCAGGATGCACACTGGCAACACAGAAGAGGTCCTAAATCAGCAGGCCAGCCTTCTCTAACCTGAGACAGCCATTCCTCTCACCTCTGACTTGGTTGCATATCTTTCCCCACAAAACTTTCAAGCCCCTCAGCTGTATGTCCCTACACTGTCCCTGCTGACCCACGCTGGGTAGTCCCCTCAGCCCTCCCCTCTGCTCACAGCCTCTCCTGATTTCAGTGGCTTTCACCTCCCCAAATCTTTTTTTTTCTTCAACAGGAGATGCTGGAGGGAAGAAAATCAAAGTTATAGGTATCAAGGCTTAGAACATGGCAGTCTCTTCAATCCCAAGTCCCAGCAGCACCTGTGCTAACACATGGTGTACACTGCTGCAGATTATCTCAAAATGTCAATTAACAGACAACCATGTGCATACTTTTCCTATTTTGACAGAAGCATGATCAGATGCAGTTCTGATACTCGTTTTTTTCATTTAATCCACGTTGGAGGTCTTTCCACTTAATTGCACTGTGAAATTATTTGTGGATAGGTTTTTGGAATGTGTGCAACTTATCAGAATGGCAATGAACATCATGTACCCACATCTTTATGTAACTGTGCAAGTATTTTGGTAAGATACTTTCCTATCAGCAAGAATTCTGGGTCGAAGACTGTATATTTATGACAGTTATTACCAAAATGCCCTCTAAGCAGGGCGTGGTGACACATGTTGGTAATTTCAGCTTCTTGGGGGACTAGGCAGGAAGATCAACAGTTTGAGCAAGTCTAGGCAGGAGAGGGAGGCCCCAACCCAAACACAGGCACGCACATGCACGCACCCCGCCCCCCCCATCTCTGCAAAGCTCACAGATGTCTCTTTCCCTCAGTGTGGGCAATCTTACCTGGAGACTACTGGCAGCCATGTTCTCTGGCAGCACCCATTTGGCCTTTGAGATAGTGGCTTTTCACCTTCCACCCTAGCTTTCATTTGCCACAGGATTGCATGTGCTTTTATTCTTTTTAGTGAGGAGTTACAAAAGATTCTGCTGCTTAAAGAAGTTTCAAAAAGGCTGCTCTATAAAATGCCCTTGGGCTTGTTCACTCCTGGTAACTCCCACTGGCTCTCCTCGGCCCTCCTCCTAATCAGCTCCCTCCCAGCATCCAAAGTGGACTTGCCAACCCCCTCTCTGTCTGCCTCTATAGCTGGACAGCAGCCCCTAACCCCAGCTATGAGCCATTTATATCCCACACCCCTTCAGATCCTCCCTGTATGCACAGGTGCCTCTGTCACTGATTCCTAGTTACCCGAGTCCTCCCCTCTTAATTCCTCTGCCCTACCCACCTATAGATACCCAAGTATGAGCAGGTCAGTATTCTGCTTAGAAACTATAGTGGCTTTCTACCCCACATACCTGTAGGGCAAGTTCAAACTGTGAAGGAGGCACCCCTAACTTACTCTTCCAAGGGTCCTGCTCTCTCCTATAGCATTTCTTTTACTGTAAATTCTGCTTATTGTTCCCTCATGGAGCCCAGTGGGAGGAGGATCAGATATACTGTAGGGATGAAATGAACTAGCACAGAAACAAAGAGACTCGGAAGTGATGTTCCAAGCAATGTCCAGACAGGCCCTAGGGGCCTTCCTCCTGTTCCCTAGGACAAGGCTGAACGAGAAAGCCTGAACACAGGGCAGCAGAACCATGAAGGGAATCCCAGCCATGGCCTGTGGGGGCATTTCCTGCACAGTCCCAGCAGACCTCAGCTGGCATGGAGCCTGTGTGTGGGAAGATACAGGTCAACAACACCCTGTTCCCAAAGAAGAGGTCTTGCTGACCTGCGATGAGCAGGTGGGAGGGACACTTGGTGCACTCATCACTTGAACTCCCTGTGCTGGGTCAACAAGGATGGTTCCCCTGTACCCATTAGCAACTAAAGACATTTGACAAAAGTAAATTTTGAATTCCCAGAGTTTCAATTGTAAACAGAAATGACTAAAGTATCATTTTTAGTAAAAACATTTAATTAAAACCATATTTCTCAAGTACCCACATTGACAGAATACTAAATGGATGGGCCAAAAGCAGCAGGCAGGCAGGGATACCTCACTTCAGAATTCCTAGGCTGGGACACTTAGTTCCAGATACAGATTACAGTTGCTAAATTTGAAGAGAGAATAGGGGGGGAAAAAAAAAAAACCCACGTCATCATAAACTCAAACACAGGGCTGTTCACCCCAGCATGGCTGCAGTCTCCAAAATGAAACACAGAAATGCTCACACTCAAAGACCAGCTGTGACTTGGATGGGATTCTCTGCAACTGCCTTACTGATATGTACAGAATGGAGTCCACAACAGCCTAACCAGGAAAAGGCACAGTAGAGTCTAGTCTCCATTTCAATGACTTCCTGAAAACATACACATACATATAATCCCTGGGAAGAAACTTAAGAATATATTCAGTAGTTACAACTTCTTGTACTTAATTGTTCCTTTTATTAATTAAAAAACACAAAAATACAATGATATAATGGTGAACTCTTTAGGAGAACAAGGATGGTTACACCCCCTACTTCAGACCTTACTTTGTTATTCATCCCCAGCAAGGAGCAAACAAACTACGGGGGATGCTGAGAAAAGTATAGGACAAAGGCATCAGGGCCTGGCAGAGCCAGCCTGGACCACTGGACCTGCTGCTGGCCCTCATCCCCCTGGTCTCCCAGCCTTAAGTTCCACTAGCAGTTCAGCCCTCCAAGAATAAAGGCTTACTTGCCAAGGGAAGGTACTGCCCTCAGTTTCCTGGCTCCTCCACTCTCTCCTTCCCATTATGCTCAATACCAACATGCTAAGGATTGACCCCAGGAGTCAACACTAGTGCACAGTCTCTCTTCCCCACCAAGGCTTTCTATCTTGCCTTTCTCCCTCTTCTTTCAGACTCACCAGTAGCATTACCCTCTATGAGCTGCTGACTCCTTCCGGCTTCCTGAGGCCTCAGGCCCTACCTCTCCTGCCCTTGCTGTAATCTTCATCTCCTCCCTTGCTGACCTATAAACTCACACAAATAACACGTTTTTTTTTTCATGGAGACAGCACCAGCTGCCCTCACTGGGTACACTGCTTCCTCTTGGGTCCTATCTTTCTTACTACAGTTTCCTTTATACACCTAGTAGACTGGGCTGCCAGTCACAGACTTACAAGTGAATACTAAAGGCTCTGAGTAGGGATGACATGTCTTCACTCTTGTAGAACATGAATGGACCTGGCTTTCTTGGGGAAAGAAGTATTTTTTTTCCCAGGATCTCTTTCCTGATGTCTCTTTTCTTAGGCTGCATAGACACTCCAGAGAGGGCACTCCATTCTCGCTGCCAGGCTAAGCAACCACACTGGGAGGGATGGCTGAGGGACTTGCAAGCCCTGCTGAAGCCTGATTTCCTTCCCAGGCCTGCAGCATGTAATGTCCCACACTGACAGAAGACTGATCATGGTCAGAGCAATCCTTTCACTGTGTGCCAAGGTAAGAGAAGTCACCTGGCTGCTTAGAGCAGGGACAGGGACAAGATTGTGGGCATCTTCCTTAGATTTCCTCTTGTTCCTCTTTCCCTTCACCTCACTTACACAGGTTCTTGCCACTACTAGGTCCTGAGGTATGAGGAGCACCACGGCCAAGGCAGCTGCTTCAGGGCCAGTAAGCAAGATAGTCTTTGCCAGCTATTTTCTGGCAATCATCTCCTGTTCTGTTCTTTCTGGTTTTATGCTAAATAAATACAATAAAATCCCATTAGTGTCCTTTCAGACAAGCCTGTGTGACCAACCTGCCATCTTTCATAGATCTGTATCTTGGTGTATCTTCCAGTTCTATGACTTCGATATTAATGCTCCATTTTACAAGAAAGAGGCTCATAGATCAAAATTACCTGCCCAAGGTTACCTAGCCATGTTATAGAGATGTAGTTTGAACCTATTGTTTGAGGCCTATTATTGACATATCAGAAACATAAAGGAACATTACAGTCTGGGAAGGCTAAGTATTTATGAAGAAGATAAAGCAAGTGTCAGAAAACACATAAACTCAGACCCTGACTTCAAAGCATGTTCTTAGTACATTTCATTTCCTGTCATTAAGGTGTGCACAACCCAACTACTCCCTGGCTTGGAAGCATCCTCTCTACGGTCTGTGTGAATGTGTACCCTTTTCGTTTTCATTTTACCATGTTTTTCTTAGATCCAGTATATCTGGGTTTGTCCAGCACTGCCCTGAGATGATGAGGTTTGCATTTGCCTTTTTCTCCAATCTCACTAATGTGGAGAAGAGCTACTTTATTGCCATCAACTAACACAAAGGAGGCAATGTGCCTTCCCCTATAAAAAGTACTTTCATGTCATATGAAGCCAAGAGAAGAAACAAAGCTTTGTAGTCATTTGAAAAGTGTCAGGTGAGCATCAAGTCATCACAAAGCAAGGGACCTGGACTGCTTCAACTCTAAAGGAGCTGGCTATTAAGATTTTCAGGCTGAAGTAGCAATTCCTTATCAGGAAAACATCAACGGGTTGCCAATGTCCATAAACGTAACTATAACAGCAATTTTGTCTTCATTTTTAGGTTTTGTTGAGACAGGGTCTCTGTAGCCCTGGCTGGCATCCAACTCACTATGTAGATCAGGCTGGCCTCAAACGCAGATATAACACTGGCTTCTGCGTTCCAAGTACTGGGATTAGAGAGGTGTGTGCTATCATACCTGGCCTTTGTTTTAGTTTTCAATGGTTGAGCGCTTCGGGCCACGCCCCCGTTCTCCATGCTTCCTGCGGCCAGTTAAACGCCGACGAACTTAAAAATAGTGTATGAAGTTGCTTTCATAAATCCAGTATATCTGGGTTTGTGTCCCATCCCCTAGACACTGAGGATCTGGGATGCGAACAAGAGCAAGTGCAGCCGCAGAGCCTGTGCGTCTAGTTAGTACGTGGACTTCACGCTGAAGCACGTGTAACTCAAGGCCTGAGGAGGTGGCCGAATTCCCTCACAGTGTGATGTTGGGTCTACACGCTCTGGGTTTCAGTTTCCCTATACCGAGAACGGGGGCGTGGCCCAAAGCGCCCGGACTACGGCAGCTCAGACGCCGCTCACGAGGCGAGGGAAGGTGGCGGCGGCTGGACCTCTCCTGGGCCCTTACCATTTGATGACGTTGTGAACCAGCGGTAAAAAGGAGTAGTTCTCCTCCTTCACGCCCGCGGGGGACTGCGGCCGAGGCTGAGGCGGCTGCGGTGGGGCGGCGACCGGTGGCGGCTGGGGCGGAGGCGGCTTGGACTCGGGCAGTGGCTCGGGTGGCGGCGGCAGCGCGTCCTCGGCTTGTCGCCCACCGGACACTCCGGCGGAGGCCATGGCGCGGGGCGTCGGAAGCCGAACAACAGCACGCGGAACTAGCCAACAGGCGTCGCCGACCGCTGGCGTCACTACCGCGCGCCTCTGAGGACCGGCGCGGAGACTAGGAGCGTGCGCAAGGCGCGTGAGCGGGCAGGTTTTGCTAGGAGACAGGCTGGCCTGGCATGCTAGGATTTGGTTGTGAGCCAGGACAGCTAAATTAAGTCTGGAATAAGGGACTTACTTCAGAAATTAGAGTCATCTTTTTCACATGACAGAGAGGGGTCAGAACACCAACCGGGACCCCACGGGTCCGGCGGGAGGATCGGATGACGCCCTTGAGTTGGGTGTGAGGTCAGGGATCTGCAGACAGCGAGTGTCCAGACGCCAAGGCCCTGCGATCTAGTGTCACGCTGGCCTCCAGGAGAAGAGCCCTTGCTTGGCACGAGCAGAGGACTCCGTGCCAAGACTTTGTACCTCCCGGCTCCACATTGCTGCGGAGGGAGGACCAACCGGTCTCCCCAAGCATGTAGTCTGCACCTGCTGCTTCCTGGCAGTTGCCGGGCTTTCTTATGTGTATATATAGGAGCGGAGGCTGTCCTAACTTTCAATGGTAGGCAGAAGAGGGTTCTGGCCAGGAAAAAATACCCTGTTAAAGAAGAAAGACATCAAACTTCCACAATGCCTTTGGGCAGTTCTCACCTGCAAAATATTTAGTTCAGGGCCACGACAGAGCTAAACTACTCTCCAACTTCACGTCAATGGTTGAACCCCAAAAGTCTCACATGAAGTCTCTAGGATCTTGGGCCAAATTGTGGGGGTGCGTGGGGGTGCTAATAGGTTTGTATTCTTCTCAAAGCAAATACGACATGGAGCCGTATTACAAACTTCTGAACAAGGATAGCAGAAATCCTGTGCTCGACAAACAGAAGACAGGAATTAGGAATGCTATCAACTGGGGGACGCCACCTGTCCTCAACTCACTCTCATGTCAGTAAAGAGCAAGAAAGCCTCATCCAGGAAGCAAAAACGAGCACAGGAAGGCCACAGTGGCCAGTTCCAAGTGGAGCAAGGGACGTTAGTGCTTTGAAGAGCCTTGGGAAGGTCATGTAGAGAGGGGAAGGGGATGTTGGATGTGTGTTGGGGGGGTACTTATGGGTCTCTTCACACTTTCTTCTGCCAGAGCCTGCCCTGAGTACCCCAAACGGTGCAAGTGGAGGCAGAAAGCAGCAGAATTTTCTTCTAACAGTGGACCTCTCCACCTGAGGGAAGAATTCAAAGTCCTGGGGGAGAATGGAGTGAAGAGAATGGAGGGGTGAAAGCCTGTTGGAATAAGCCCAGATGTGCCAGAAGAGGCTAGCCACCTTTATCTGGGGAAATGATGGTAGAACAGTAGAGATAGTAAATAACAGTTGTCAGAACTGTGGGATGAAAGTAGTGACAAAGAACAGTCACAACCCCCATGTCATTCAATCCAGAGAAACTCTACAAGGTACCTGTTAGCTTTCCATTTTGGAGAGGAGGAAAGGAAAGCTTACCAGGGTTATGATAGCAGCCCTAGAGTCACAAGGTCACAGAGTTTGCTTGACACCAAGACTATGGTCTAAAACCTACAGTTAGATGACCTCAGGTTCCTCCCTGTTCCATAACTTTATGATAAAAACTTTTTTAAAATTCAGAATTCAAATGCAACACAATATCAATAATATCCCCGTGGCAACTACATGTCATCTCCCCCCCCTCACCCAGTGTTTTTTTTTGTTTTTTTGTTTTTTTTTTTGTCTTTTTGAGACAGGGTCTCCCTGTAGCCCCAGCTGTCCTGGAACTCACTATGTAGACCAGGCTGGCCCCGAACTCACAGAGATCCACCTGCCTCTGCCTCTCAAGTGCTGGAATTAAAGGCATGTGCCACCACGCCCAGCCAGTGTGTTTTATTACTTAATTACAAGCCCCAACTTTATCATTGACAGAATAAGGACATTTCTTTTAAAAAGTACTTTAGGTATAAATAGATGTGGCTAAAGAAAACAAATTGTGATGTAGGAAGCATGAATAAGTATGGTGCATTGACAGTTTTCCCTAAAAATAGTTAATATAATTAGTGACAAAGAGGAAAGCTGACTTTGTGACACTGCAAGCAGATGTCAGAGGAATGTTTCCCATGCCGGTTTTGCTAAAGCTGAAATTGCTGCAAAGAAATACGTGTCTCTACAATCATTCTACTCAAGAATGTCTTCAAGAAAGAAAAGATAGGATACCACTGAAATGTAAACAGAATTGTCAGATGCTTGACACTGAATGTGTCAGTGATGGGGTGAGCTGCCCCATCACTTTCTTTGGCAGGTTTACATGACTTTTCAAGAGTGCCTTGTCAGGTTTGTGGTTGAAAGGGCAGGCTTGAGAGCCTACTTGCCTGCCTTCAAGCCTGGCTCCACGTCTTTGAAGTAGTAAGACTTTGGATAGTTACTTGACTGCAGCCTCATAGAAGGTCTGAGTGGGTTGTTACATGTTGCTGTGGTAGGAATGTGTACCCAAAGTTCACATGTGAGAAACAATCCCAGGGCTGTGCCCTTATGGATGGACTCATGTTACTGTAGGAGTAGATTCTTATCAACAGGATGAGTTTGTTAGAAAAGCGAGTTTTTCCCTTTCTTCTCCCTGGCCTTCTGCCATGTGACAGAGCAAGAAGCTCCTCCTTAGATGTGATTCCATGACCTTGACCTTTCCAGTCTCTGCTACTGTATGCCAAATAAACTCTGTTCATGTCAGTTACCCAGTCTGTGGTCTGGGTATATACAAAATGTACAGAGAAATCAGTAAAATGCAGTAACATCACCTATTATTCTTACTTGGATGAAGGGCTTCTTCCTTCCCCAGTTATGGAAACCCACACTGAGTATAGTTAAAATATCTAAAAAGCTAAAACTCCTAGAATTTCATTTTAAAAAGAGACAGGGCTGGGATTGGTGGACACATGCCTTTAATCCCAGCACTCAGGAGGCAGAGGCAGCCAGATGTCTGTGAGATCGAGGCCAGCGTGGTCTACACAGCAAGTTCCAAGCCATCTGAGACTACAGAAAGACCTTATCTGAAACAAAGTAGAGAAATGTTCTCCATCGGCACTCTCTACTAGAAACACAACATGTACCATAAATGTAAGGCCCATGTCCTGTTCAGTTTTCTATTAGCCACATTTTTAAAAAGAAACAAGTGAAGTTTTAGCAAATTTTGTTTAACCCAGTAGCTAAAATATTATTTCAACATAAAATCAATATTAAAAATCATTAATAAGGTGCTTGATTCCTTCATACCATCTTTGAACTCTCATGTCTTACACCTGCTTCTCATTTCCATTTGAACTAGCCACATTTCAAGTGGCCAGTGGCCAAATGTGGCCAGGTCAGCCCCACTGGGTGATACAGATCAGTAGACATCAGCATAGGTAGAGCTTACCATCTCCACAGCAAAAGTGGAGGAAAAAGCAAGCTACTGAAAGGTGTTATTCTGTAGTGCAGCACAGATCACATGTTAACTGTAACAACATGCCTGGGCACGGCAACTTCAAAGGAGAAAGACTGATCTCTGCTCACTGGTTTAGAGGTTTCAGAGGATGGCCAATTGGCCCTCTTGCTTCGGGGGCTGTGATGAGGTAGTAAGTGCTACAGAGTGTAGCAAAACTGCTCATATCATGACCAGAATGCAAAGGAGAGGAGGGAAGAAGACAGGACTCGGGGGTGGGGGGGGGAGAGTCACAGTCCCTTTGAGGGAATGCCCCAGTAGCCAGAAAACCTCCCACTAGACCTCCCCCTTAAAGGGTCCACCATTATAGATATCACCATGGGCTGGGAACTAAGCCTTCAACATATGGGCTTTTAGGGATCATTTATCCAACCCACAACATTATATAAATGTTTACAATATAAAAAAATCACTGTATGTTATCCCTAGATGCAAGACAATAAATAGATGTAAAAGCATTGAGAAAAAGAACTAGAGGATTCATCCATTTTGGGGGACAGGGAATTGGAACATGTTAGACACAGAAACTTTCTATGCAGTGCTTTATTTTATAAGTTGTGAGGGAAGGTGCAGGAGAAGTGGCTCAGTGGTGAAGTGCATGTACTTCTCTTGCAGAGGACCCGAGTTCAGTTCCCAGCACCCATATCAGATAGTTCACAACTGTCTATAACTTCAGCTTCAGGTGATCCAACACCTTCTGACCTCCTGAGATACATGCCTGCATGGGTGTATATAGATACACAGACATACATGCACACATAAATAAAAATAAATTCTAGTAAAAACTGTAAGGGGACTTGGAACAAATAGAGAAAACTTGACCTACTGCCACATAAGGCCCAGGCACAAGGGGCTGTGACATGGGATCTAGCTCAACAGGCTGGAACAAGTTAGTTAACCTTCCTGCACCTCAGCTTCTTTGTCTGCAGAATAGAATCATATGAGCACTGCCCCCTTAAGGGCTGCTGTGCTGATTTTTGGAGTAGATTGTGTGTTGATACATGACCAGTGCTGGCACATAGCGAAAACTGTCTCACCTTTAAACTACTCCACTGAGGAAAAAAAAGAAAACCAAAAGCACACTCAAACGTTCAAAGAGGACGTGCACCACTCATGCCTAAGAACATGCTTGTCATATATTCTGCTACGTAGAGTCCAAAAATAGCCCTAGCTTCATCAGACAAACATCGGGGGGCTTTTAAGCAATTAGGTCATCGTGTGACTAGAGACTTGTTCATGCAAGCCGTGTTCCTACTTGTGACTCATCCTTTCATTTTCATCACCTGGCATATTGGGCAGGTGGGAGAAGCTTTGATTTTTGTGAGGTTTTTTTCTTTTTTAAGCAGTTGTGGCTGAAGCCAAGAGTGAGCCCTCCAAACCATGAGTTGTTGCTGAACCTCAAACAAAGCACTTCCCCAGTCCACCAGCCTTCCATGCCTGTCTGAACACCATTTAATTTTCTTTCTGTTTCTCTCAATTACCTCTCCTTTCTAAAGAGACTCCATTATTCTGGGTCAGTTTCCTTGCAGAAGCTCTTACTGTGCCCTTCAGCACACTAATCTATTTCTT